TGTTCAAGCAATGTTAGGAAGTGAGTGACAAACACACGCATCCTAGGGTTTTTTTGGTGTTTTTTTTTTTTTTTTTCTTTTGAGGAATGTTCCACTTTTTTGTCCTCTCTCAGTCTTGTTCCACTCCCCTTCCAGCTTACCATACAGGTCAAAGGTCCATCTCCTGCAATCTCTTCAGACGTTCAAAGTTCTCACACCCTAGAGAGCCAAAGCCATTCTTTCTTCATAGGGAGGTCAATTTAGACAAGCACTTCTGGAAAGTTCTAGTAAAGCCTTTTCCTAGAAACCCAGACTGCCAAGGAACCACCTCATTACAACCTTTTGGATTAGAAGTCTTTTTCAGAGCCTCACCTTGCACAAGGTATGCACCAGACTTTTGCAACTACATATACTGACATCCACATAATAATAAAATGCGGTTTAACATAGCTATGAATAAGCCTTCCCAGAGGGTTTCCAAGTTCTTTTTTAAATTCATCTCTCCCTTGTTTTTCTTACAAGAACAAAAACAAAGGCAAGGAGGAAAATCATGCTTCCGCAAGCTTCATTTGAAGTATGAATCTGGAACCACAATTCTTCTTTCAGACACGTAGTTTAGGACAATCTTTGGATATTACAAAAAAACAAATACATTCCTTTATCTTTGTATTTATTTTTTGTTTAAGGGTTAGGCTTTTTCAGACTTTGATCTGTAACAAAAATAAGAGCTAGCCAGTAGGAACATCTCTTACTGTTATTTTGTAAAGACTTTTGATTGATTTATCCTTCTTTTGACTCATAATTAACACAATAGAAATAAGATTTTTGCAAAACAGAACAAGCAGTCACCTTAAATAAGAGATATCTTCATCTTTCTGTACAATCCGTTAGACTACATTGTTCAACAAATTAAAGAAAGAAAAAAAAAAGCCTTAAACTTTTTTGCTAGGGCAGCAGATAAACATTAAAGACAGGTGGATGCTGGTTTTGGTCTCAGCATACGTAAGCAAATTATATTCTTGGTCAAACAATGCAGTTCAAGACTACCCTTAAACACCAAAGAAATCACCGTCTCTGCTGACCAAAGTTGTTTTCCCATCTTTTTTACAATTAAGGAGCTAAAAATGTACATTAATTCTTTTGCAGAAGAGAATTTCTGAGGAATAGTCGAAGAATGAGAATCATCTGCCCTTATTAATGCCTTAGCAGACAACTATTTCCATTCAGCAAAAGATGGAAAAAGAAAAATCAATCAACAGATTTCAAAAGCGCATCTTATCCTGTATTGTAGAAGCTGTTTATGGCGGTGTCCTACAATTCAGAATAGACATAAAAGGAAGTCAAGAATTAAATACTCAAAATAGCCAAGGTTTTCTCAGATTCTATCACAGCAGAGAAAAACAAAACAAATCACAATCATGTTCCATTAGTATTGTCAAACAAGGTAAGAACAGAAAGTACAGAACTCTCTGGATCTCATTGTTAGCTATATATAAGCAAAGACCAACAGTCTCTGGCTTGTAGACAGGAGTATCATCTAGTCCAGGGGGAAACAAATGCTAATGTTCAGTGCCCAGGTGAAACAGGCTGGGACTTTCTCCTGTCCCTTCTGTACACTTTCAAACCTCTTTCTTGGAAACTCAGAGAGGCCCCGAAGGACTGAATATTCAGACCAAAATGCTCATTCACAAGAGCTGATATTACTATGGGTATCGTATATGAGTCTTAAGTTCATCGGCCTACCAAAATTTTCCTGATTGTCAGAATTAAATACCTCTGCAGAACAGAAATGAGCTTGCCCCTGTGTATTCACTCCATGGTTTAAGGAGGACTGTAACTTTCTGCTTGCCAGTACTTACTTAATTACCACATTCCTACCTACCTAGAAGGTGGGGCAGAAAAGGTAAGTTAAAACCGTATTTAAAATTAACAAGTAAGAGATCCCCTTAGGGAAGAAAACACATATGATAAAAGTAATGTTGAATGGCATGATGAAAACATACCTTTTTTTTTTATGACATAAAAACTATGACAACTCCTAAGTCAAGTAGGAGAAACATTCTTTGGTGTTTTATAACAATTTATCCAACTGACAGTGGTAATCCCCTAAATTAACGTACAACGTACCACTCTTCCTCTCTTAAGTGCTGGACAATCCTAAACCATTTCCTGATACCAAAAGCTGCTCAGGGTACATCATTGTGAAACAACTTGTGACTATTTTAAAAATAATTCAGAACCACCTTCAGAACTTTTAAAGAGACAGTAAAACCATGCAAGTGAAAACTATTTAAACTCTTGACAAGGCAGAATTCAAAGCATAGCTGACAACAGTTCACTTCCTAGCATTTTACTACCAGGGAAAATCCAGGTGTGCATTTCCTCTAAGACCTATTAGTTAATCTAGAATCTCAAACAACTGAAACAAATGTATTTTAATTTGAAGTGGTATAAAGGGTTCTAACATTTCTCACTCAGCTACATCACTTACGTCATTATAACTGGTCTAATATAGGGTTTAACTCTCTTTTGCTGTGTTTTTTATATAGAAAGGGTTGACAACATACTTCATAGAGAAAGTCTTTCCATACACCTACTTCTAAAATACTTTAAAAATACTTTAGCTTTTAGTGTAACGGAAGCCTGACAAAGCAAAACCAACTGGTTAAAAGAAGACACTAAGGAGTTCTCTGCTGTGCACAGTGCTACACTGGCTATTTCTAATAAATAATGTCACAGATCTACACCAAAGATGATTCAAACATGACTGATGGTTTTGCAGAAGTCCGCTAATGGCAGGTGAAACCACGGCTGGTTTTCTATTTGGATGCTGCTGTCCAAATGCAGATTCCTGAACTGTTCTGTCAGGATTTCAGCTCATCAGACCTCACATGCACACCCACATACATGCATATCTACATACATCTTGCTTTGCAATCTCAATACTGATGAGCTCAGAAGGAAGCCTCATTTAACCATTATTGGTTCAGAAGACAAAAGTAAAAGAGAGAACAGGAAATAACATAAGCATGCCAGATTCAGGCCCATCCTCAAGACTAGCATCAAGTTTCATTTTTATTTAAATAAAACAAAACTAAAAAAAAAAAAAAAGACAGACTCCAGTTTGTACTTCATTTCCTTCTTTCAAGAAAACGTAAAAGAGGAAAGTTTCACTTGGTGGCAACTTGCTACATCTGATGTTCTAGCAAAACCAAGGTTTAAATAACTTTCTGGCAAGCACAGCTTTATTAAGTGCTGCCTATATAGGATTTTCAAGTGCAGCCTGTAGTGACAGGATTTCAGTTGTTCCCTAGCTATCTTTTTTTGTCCCATCCCAGCAACTACTTGTTATGCTATACACTGAGGAACATTACACAGCATGACTGCGATATCCTCCTAAACAGAGGCCAGCTACAACATTAGTAGGACTTTTTAACTACAGTAGTATTTTATTGTGTTATAGTCAAGGAACCGATTTGCTAAGTCACATAAGACACCCATATGGAGGCTCACATGCCACGGAAAGGTCGAGTTACAGATGAGTAAATAGAACCTCTGACACTTAATTAAAATAATTAAAATGAAGACAACAGTTTTTTAAGAGACTGGATATTTCCTGAACAAGTATTACCGTGTGCACTTCTCCTACCACAAAAATAACTGGGAGAGATGGAGTGGGGAGGAAAGGGGGATTGGAGCGAAGGGAAGAGAAGGGAAATCACAATTTAGAGATCATTCTGTTAAGAAAGGAGGACCAGTTGGCCTGCAGATTGTGACAACCCTTCAGGCACGCGTCCCACATACACAGATTTTCCCACAATACATGGATTTCATAAGTACATCCATCGTTCACTGTACACTAATTTTCAAGAGGCTTGGTTACATTATACGTGGATGATGATAAGGGGGTGCGATGTTAGCTTCTCACAGGGCTGCTCTCAAGTGCATCACTTATCAGAGTACACCATCTCTCCTGTCTAGTCAAGGGAGGTTACACCATCGTTTGTTAAGCACGTACAAAGATAACCAATGGCACAACACACTGTGCTCTGATTCTTAAACAGTGAGCTTCGTACAGCCACACGTGTTTCAAGGAACAAAGACTTCTTGATGTCGAAGGCTGCAAATCAGCCCCTTGCAATACAGACCCCTCACCGGAGGGAACAGCCAGAGGTGCAAAGGCTGGCCCCAACGCACACCAGTGTGTTCCCACCCTTAGCTAGACCTCAGCAAGCAACTCTGAAGTTGGCACATGACAGCCATGAAGCCAAGATATCCAATTATACCCTCACGCTATTTGCTCTGGCCCAGCCTTGCACAGTCATTAAGTGGTCCCTCATGCTTTGCTACAGCTTCCCTAGATCCCCAGAAACCGAGGGCTAGGGGCTTACCCAGCTCCACCACCCACCAGGACTAGAGGGGCTTAGCTCCACACCAGGCCACCAGCCCGCCAAGCCCAGCGGCGGGACACCCCAACCCCAGCTGCCCGCGCCCCTTAACGGCGGCGGCGGCTGCACCCTGAAGGAGAAGCCGGAGCACACGCCTGAGCGCCGGGCACATGCTTCCCCCGGAGCACCGCAGCGTGAAGCCCAACAGAAGCGCTCCCTTCACCTCCCCGCCCTCTTCAGCCCGGCTCGCCCGCACCACGGCCTCAAGCTAGCGGGGATGTTAGCGGCGGAGCGCCGGGCCGGGCCGTACGGGCGCGGAGCCGGCGAGAGGCGCAGCCGCACCGGCCCCCGGCTCGCCGGGCTGCGCGGAGCCCCGGGACGGTTCCTTGCCGCCGGCTACCCGCGCTCCGGCACCTGAGAGCCCCCCGGGCGGGCTGCTCTCCGCCGTCCCTCGACCTTACCCCCTCGCTTGTCAGCAGCCGCCCGTCCTCCCGGGGAGCCGGAGCCCGCCGGGCAGTCCTTACCGCCCGTCACACCACCTTGCCCGGCTCCCCCTCGCCGCCTCGCAAAGGAGGCACAGCGGCGGGGCGAGCGGCGGGGGAGCCGGCGCTCACGCCCCGCGCCCTATCTCACCTGCAGGGGGAAGGTGGCCGCCTTGTTGCCCACGTAGCCGCGGACGACGTGGCTCTGGATGGAGAGCACCCGGCACTCGCGCTCCGGCTCCATGGCCGCTCCGCTCCGCGCCGGGCCGAGGTGGCGGCGGCGCCGGGAGCAGGAGAGGAGGGGGGGAAGGAGGGGGGGGGAAGGACCATCTCTCCTGTCTAGTCAAGGGAGGTTACACCATCGTTTGTTAAGCACGTACAAAGATAACCAATGGCACAACACACTGTGCTCTGATTCTTAAACAGTGAGCTTCGTACAGCCACACGTGTTTCAAGGAACAAAGACTTCTTGATGTCGAAGGCTGGAAGTCAGCCCCTTGCAATACAGGCACCTCACCGGAGGGAACAGCCAGAGGTGCAAAGGCTGGCCCCAACGCACACCAGTGTGTTCCCACCCTTAGCTAGACCTCAGCAAGCAACTCTGAAGTTGGCACATGACAGCCATGAAGCCAAGATATCCAATTATACCCTCACGCTATTTGCTCTGGCCCAGCCTTGCACAGTCATTAAGTGGTCCCTCATGCTTTGCTACAGCTTCCCTAGATCCCCAGAAACCGAGGGCTAGGGGCTTACCCAGCTCCACCACCCACCAGGACTAGAGGGGCTTAGCTCCACACCAGGCCACCAGCCCGCCAAGCCCAGCGGCGGGACACCCCAACCCCAGCTGCCCGCGCCCCTTAACGGCGGCGGCGGCGGCACCCTGAAGGAGAAGCCGGAGCACACGCCTGAGCGCCGGGCACATGCTTCCCCCGGAGCACCGCAGCGTGAAGCCCAACAGAAGCGCTCCCTTCACCTCCCCGCCCTCTTCAGCCCGGCTCGCCCGCACCACGGCCTCAAGCTAGCGGGGATGTTAGCGGCGGAGCGCCGGGCCGGGCCGTACGGGCGCGGAGCCGGCGAGAGGCGCAGCCGCACCGGCCCCCGGCTCGCCAGCCCTCGCTGCCCCGCACCGGCGGCACCTCATGGCTTCTCCCACCCCTCACCGCCCTCCCCGCGGTACTCCTCACTGCAGGTCCCGCCGCGGCTTCAGGCTCCCCCTTCCTCCCCCTCCCTCCTCACCCGCGCGCCGTCACGCGCCTCAACGGCCGCCCCTGCCGCACTCGGCGCCATCCCGCAGGGAGGTGCGGGCCTGAGGAGCCGAGCCCTCACACAATCCCCGGGCCGCCGCCTCGCATCGGCCCGCTCTGGCCAGCAGCCTGCCGCGTCCCCTCGCCCGCGGGAAGGCTGTGTGTGGTGTGTGTGTCCCGTCCGCCTCCCCCCACCCCGTGGTGGTGCACCCTGCGCTGAGGTGCTGGCTGACACCCACAGAGGCCAGCATAGCCTCTCAGACTCTCCCCAGCACACAACCACCTTGTAGGTGCTAGTGAGTGCTGACAGAGTTGGCAGACGTGCTCGCCAAACCGCTTTCCATCATTTACTACAAGAAAGGCAAAAAGGAGGATCCAGGAAACTGTAGACCTGTCAGCCTAACCTCAATACCAGGGAAGGTCATGGAGCAGGTCATCTTGAATGCCATCAAAACCCACATGATGGGCAACCAGGGGATCAGGCCTAGTCAGCATGGGTTTATGGAAGGCAGGTCCTGCCAGACCAACCTGATCTCCTATGACAAGATAAGCAGATTATTGGACAAGGGAAAGGCTGTTGATATCTCCTTTCATGACAAGATAACCAGATTATTGGACAAGGGAAAGGCTGTTGATATTGTACACCTGGATTTTCGAAAAGCATTCGATACTGTCCCCCATACAAATCTGGTGGATAAACTGGCTTCACACGGCCTGGACGAGCATACGATCTGCTGGATCAAGCACTGGCTGACTGGAAGGTCCCAAAGAGTGGTGCTCAATGGATTCAAATCCAGCTGGCAGCCGGTCACAAGTAGTGTGCCTCAGGGCTCAGTGTTAGGACCATTTCTATTTAACGTGTTTATTGATGATCTCGATAAGGACATAGGGTGTATCATCAGCAAGTTCGCAGATGACACCAAGTTAAGCAGGAGTGTTGATTCCCAGGAGAATAGGTAGGCCAGTATCAATGGCATGAGTTTCAACAAGGGCAAGGGCCAGGTTCTGCACTTGGGCAGTTCTGGGCACCTCAATACAAGAGAGATATCGAGGTTCTGGAGCGAGTGCAGAGGAGGGCAATGAAACTAGTGAAGGGCCTGGAAGACAAATCATATGAGGAACGGCTGAGGGAGCTAGGACTGTTTAGTATGAGGAAGAGGAGGCTGAGGGGAGACCTCATCACTCTCTACAACTACTTGAAAGGACACTGTAGAGGGGTTGGTGCTGGTCTCTTCTCAGAGGTATTTAACGACAGAACAAGAGGGAAGGGCTTCAAGCTCCAACAGGGTAGCTTTAGACTAAACATTAGGAAGGAATTTTTCACAGAAAGAGTGGTCGGGCATTGGAATAGGCTGCCCAGGGAGGTGGTTGAGTCACCATCCCTGGAGGTGTTTAAGGGACGTTTAGATGCGGTACTGAGGGATATGGTGTAGGGGAGGACTATGTAGAGTAGGGTAGATGGTTGGACTCGATGATCCCAAGGGTCACTTCCAACCTGAACGATTCTATGATTCTATGATTCTATGACCTTTACCTCCTGGAGAACCACCCATGGTGGTCCCAATGGGTGGATCTAGCCGTGATGGCTCCGTCCGTCTCAGCATGGTTTTGGGGAGACAGATAACAACACAGTAGCCAAGGGCTACCTTGATCAATGCTGGTAGCGGGGTCAATATGCAAAGATGTCTATGAGCCAATCATTTTACCCCCCATAAATAGTGAGCAGCCCAAGAGCCCTTGGAGCTCTCCTGCACGGCAGCAGGCTGCATGCCAGGATGTCCTCTTGAGAAAGTATGCAGCTCAAGGTTACTTCTCCAGATTCAGAGATTCCTTGCTGCGGCACATCCTCGGTAAGTGACTAATTCATGGTAAACTTTCAAATCTTAGCTAAGTGATATAAAGGATTGATTGCATATCTGTAATCCTTTAGACACAAACTGTTGACCAAGTCTGGGACTAGGACTGGATCCAGCTGCCCCTAGACTCCTCTCTGAGAAGGAGTTTAGAAAGGAAGGGGGTCCTTTCTGAACCTTGTGATTCAGCAGGAGGGTCTCCCTGACAGTTCCATCTGACCCTGTCCTCTGTGCAGTAAATAACCAAGCCTGCCTTCCCATCGAATCTTGTTAAAACTGTCACATTTACAATCAAACTTTGTTAAATCTCTGTTTTATATCAATAAGGGTATTGCTGCTTCTCTCTGCGAGTGATCCACAACACCCACGCACACGGACCCTCCTTGGCCCACTCTTACACATCACGTGGGCTGCCACTGTCACCTCTCTCTTGCCCTCACTGGACAGCAAGGAGGGTCTCCCTGACAGTTCCGTCTGACCCTGTCCTCTGTGCAGTAAAGAACCAAGCCTGCCTTCCCATCGAATCTTGTTAAAACTGTCACATTTACAATCAAACTTTGTTAAATCTCTGTTTTATATCAATAAGTGTATTGCTGCTTCTCTCTGCGAGTGAAGTGCATCACTCCATCCACAACACCCACGCACACAGACCCTCCTTGGCCCACTCTCACATGTCACACCGGCTGCAACAGTCACCTCTCTTGCCCTCACTGGACAGCACCTCAAAGCGCGCTTCCAGCGCCCATAGGTATGTCCAAATGTTGGACCATACACACAGCGGGGGCCACCCAGCCGTCCCATGCCACCCACCCTGTGTGATAACTGCTATTTGCTGTCTACACTGCCCTGTGCCACGGTCCTAGCCAGACCTGCCCTTCCATGTACTGGAAAGCCAAGAGCAGCATACACATCCCAACAGTGCTCCTCAAGCATCCAGAAAGCCCTGTGGAGCCAGGGACACCACAGGGCAGCCCCACACGAAGCCCTGTGGTGGCACACAGGCTGGAGCTGCGGGTGCCCTGACAGAGCACTGCCCTCGCAGTCAGGTTTTGAAATGAGTGCAATTGTGTGTTATTGACACATACACAAAAAAAACCCCAAACCTTCAGAGGGCTGCCAAAGAGTAAAAGAAGATGTGTTGGCTGGCAAGTGCTACAATACATCAAGACTCTGCTCAGATAGGACTTCGTAATGCGTTTGGGAATTTCATCTTCCCCTGGCCATTTGTCATTATTGACCGTCACAGGTTCAGTCAAAGATCCCTTCACAACAAGAAACCACACCTGATGCCTCTTGTTCTTCTTAGTGGATAGCTTTAAATTGACTCTTGAAATAGCGTGATTATTTCTCAGCATCATGAAAGCTTATTTTCCTCATCATAAGTAATCTGTTAGAAAATGAGGGAACATACTGTTCTCTTTTCTGTTGTCACTCCAGTTGCAAAATTTGGGGCTTGTCCTAGGCTGGCTTTTCTACTAACAGTTTCTCCATCACCTATAAATGTAGGTATTTTTTTTGAATTGTAGAAATTGGTGTATCTCCTTGGAATATAGATAGAGTCAGAACAATGAATGATCTGCACTATGTATGTTAGGAATTATCTGCACCTTGTATGCTCCAGATCCAGCAGTCTGGAAAAACATTACAAAACAGCATTTCACACAAGGAGGTTATCTCAAAGGGACACAGATCTGAATGGTAGGGTAAGCCAGAAGAATTGGAGCAGAGTCCTATATTGCAATGTGATCTTCCTCAGTTTCTGGTCACCCGTCTCCATTCTCCACCTGCAGGCTCCTTGCCTGCTTTCCTCCTCTGAGTCACTTGCCACATGCCCCAGCCTGCAGGGTCTAAAGTCCTAATTTTCTTCCTCTCACCATTCTTAGAGCCAAAGCTGCTTGCCAGGGCTGTTACCTCTTCCATATTCCTCCCAACTCTAACTTTTTGTGCCAGTCTTCCCTCTTATTTTCCCTCTGACTTGAGCTATTCTGTTTCTCTCTCCAGTAACTCCACCACCTATCCCCAGCAACCCCACCATCTTTTCTCAGGTCCATGTCCTTGACTATCTAGTCTCACTAGTTTCTAGTGATCCCTCTTAAGATAGTGTCATTTTGTCTCACCTTCCTCTCCTGCTTCAAACTCCTTGACCTATTCCCACTTGCATTCTTCCCACCAACGCATGTCTTGCTCTGGTCCAAATCA